AAAAACGCGATATCTTCCTTGTATATGCCCCATTGGCCGCGTTTTTGCACGAAACCAGAATATTATTCGTCGATGATATTCTATTAGATTTTTGTACTTTTTTTTATCATTCCTTTTTTTTCTCCGTCTAATTCTACATCTATTTTATTCTAGGTGCAGAAAGTACAATAAGTGCATGTAAAAGGAACAAAGTGAACAGACCTTGAATCATCTGATTTCGAGATTCGAGATTCGAGACGTGAACGACTGAGCACTGAGCAGTGGGCTCCTTTCAAGTTGTCGGATCGTATAATTGGAATTGATTGGAACAAGCGTGATCGAATCACCACATAGATGTAAGGCTAACAATAAGTGTATCTAGCAATATCTCTGCGTAACGTTGCACGTAAAAATTATTAGGTACGAGCGGATACGAGGTATTCGCAGGTTAGATTAGGTTAGGTGGGATCCTCCAACGCCGGTCCCAGATTAGTGTATTCTTTTCCGTGTTGTTTTCCGTAGAAATAAAAGACCGTTTCAAATCCGCATGACATCCGCCACGATGATTGACCGTGTTAGTCGCTTCGTTCTCCAAATGCGCAAGCGAAGTAAAAGGATCAGTGGCCACCAGCGGTACGCGATTAGACACAGTTCCACCCAACGGCCCCCACGTGATGGCAAGATCCTAGAGCACTTAAGCGACAGGAGTGTACTGCGCGTAAGTGGCAACGAGGCCTCCACCTTCCTCCAAGGATTGATCACGAACGATATGAAGTATCTTGACGAAGGGGCGCCTAACATCTACACGTTGTTCCTGAATATCCGAGGCAGAGTGATGTGCGACGCTATTGTGTACAAGAGCGAGGAGAGCAACTTGTATTACGTGGAATGCGATTCACTGATTATCGATTCCCTGCAGAGACACTTGAAGATGTATCGTGTGAGACGAAAGATAGATATAGAACATGTAGGGGATAAAATCAACGTTTGGTCGATGTTTGGTTCCACGAAACATTTGGATAATGGAGTTGCAGCGACCGAGACGGGAAAACATAAGCTGGAAGGAATGATATTTCCATGTGGCAAGCTAAACAGTAAAGCCAGCAAGTTTGTCGATAATGTTATGATATACGAAGATCCTAGGTTGCCCGATTTAGGCTTGAGAATTCTCGCCGAGTCGCAGATTAGCAGACACGAGATAATCAAACATCTAGACGCCGACATACCTCCGTCGGAAAGTCTCGCGGATTATAAGGCGTTTCGATATAAATTAGGAGTAGGGGAGGGCGCACACGATCTTCCGCCCGGAAAAGCATTGCCCCTGGAGATCAATTGCGATTACCTACATGGCGTTAGTTTTCGCAAGGGCTGCTACATCGGTCAGGAATTAACCGCGCGCACATATCACACGGGTGTGGTCAGGAAACGCCTGATGCCTCTATTGTTTGATAATGTTATAGATAAGTCGCTTGCGTACGACGAGAAAATTCTCAACGAATCTGGCAATGCGGTAGGAAAGTTCCGAGGATGCGTCGCTAAGTACGGATTAGGTTTGATGCGTATCAATGAGTCCCTTAGTGCTCGACAGCTTAATGTATCCGGTATAAACGTAAGGGTGGTCAAACCTGCGTGGTGGCCCCAAGAATCACAAACAGAAACGGGTTCTCTCAAAGATACAAAATAACATCGTGATGTTTCCTTTGTGGAGCATATATAACGAACTTTTATGTAGAGTACACACATATATGCGTGATACGTAAAATTGTACTATATTTTCACATATAAAATAAATTTTTCTGTGTTCAAAATCGACAATGTATTCAGTGGCGTCTGCCCCTTGTTGCTTTATAGGAAGAAGGAGGAGGATCTCGTTAGTACACCAGCAGGCAAATCTGGTATCAACGAGCGGACGCAACAAGATACCTCCACGAGTCAACAGACGGCGACAAACGTAGGCGGCACTTTCACGTGTTCTTTTTGTCCTTTAAAAGAACACTACGATTACAAAGGCGTAAGGCCGCCTTTCGCTCGACAATTGGTTTATTCAGAAGAGTGTTACGTTATGAAAGATCCGTTCAGCTTGCCAAACAGGGGCCAAATCTTAGTCTTGGGTGCCAATTGCAGTGTGTGCGAACACGCTGTATGCTTAGGATGCAGCATATTTTATACAAGGCGATTCTGTCCAAAGTGCGCTTCCAGTAATATGCAGTATTTACCGCCCCAACTACACAGCAGAATTAGGAATTTAACGAAGCAAGCTGATTCTTAAAAACAATGCAAATTTCTTATCAAATATTTATTAGAATAGTATTTAAAAAACGATGAGTTACGTTACAATAAAAAAAAAATTATATACATACATATTGGAGGTATTTTTACTTATATTTGTATGTGATGAATTTCTACGAGAAGTGTAACGTTTTTTATAACAATGTCAATATTCATTTCTTTTTTCAATATTAAATAAACGCGCGAAAGATCTTTGAGTATAAACAAATCTTGCTGTCTTAGAACTGTAAAATATACGATACTAGCTTAAACTTTTGCTGATTTAGCTGCGAGCCTTTCTGCCATCTTCTTCTTTTTCTTGTCAAGTTTGTTCTTCTTCTTTTTGTTTTTCAAATTAACTTTTTGACCCTGAAATGCAGTAGACTCCTTTCCGTCGTCATCTTCCTGCTTTTTATGTTTCTTAACGTTTCTTTCATGTTTAGCCTGTGAACAGAAAATACGAATATGTATTAATTCCATCTTTATTGGGGGAAAAAAAAGTTTACGAAGAAGTAAGATATTTACATTACGTGCTACAGACTCTCCCAAACTATACTCAAACTTTTTTAATGGTTTATGCAAAACAAGTCGTTCGGTTCCCTCGCCAATCAGCGGTTTGTACACAAATGTCTCGCTTCTATACCAATCTTTATCGTTAGGGTTAAATCTTATATTAAGTACTATTACTCGCTGCCCTTGAACTTCTACAACATCAGATAACTTGAGAGCATTAGATACAGCATCTTCAGTAAAAAAATGGATATAACCGCATTGACATGACATCGTTTCGGGATTGCGTTTTAATTCCACACAGTTAATATCTCCACATTCGCGAAAGGCTTTCCAGATTTCGTTCAATTTTACATCTGAAATTTTTAAAACATAAACCAATTATATTAATTTTTACGCTACGTAATTGCGATATCTGATCAACAACGGTCTATTGCACATACCTTTTTTCAGATTCGTTATAAATACAGCTTTTCCCGCGTCGTACGGCCCATTAAATTTACCAAGAGTCTGTACCATCAAGTAATTTCCATCAACAATCTTTCCGTGCATAGCCTTTACTGCATTCAGAGCGGATTCTTCATTGGAGTATAGAAGTTTTCCTGTGAATGAAAGTAGTTTTGGCCGTGTTTTAGCAGCTGCTGTCTTTGGATTTGTCACGGTTGTAAGGATGATCAAAGGATCTAGAGACACCTGTATAACGTCACCATATGGACTGAACAGTGCTGTGATCTGTTCTTTTGTTGTTTCTTTTGAGATATTTTCAATGATAACAACTCTTTTGAACATTACTGTTCGAATGTCAATAATTGACTTCTTTTTCGCTTTTTCTACTTGTGTTTCTTTTTTATTGGCAGCTTTATCTCCTTTTACTTGTATTACTGTATTATCATTCTCCTCATCATCTTCGTCTTCACTACTAATATCATCGTCTTCATCATCCTCATTTTCTTCATTAAAATCTTCATCGTCGTCATCGTCTACAATACTTTGTCCTAAAAGTGCTTTTAAACCCATCTCTTCATCCATCTCATCATCATCGTCGTCGTCATCGTCCTTATCATCATCTTCATCAGTTTCCATTAGTAAATCATCATATTGACCTTTAATATTCTGTACTTGTTTTTCATCATCATTATTCTCCTCTTCATCCTCATCATCGTCTTCATCACTTTCATCAAACGTCGCGTTCATATAATTTTCGCCTTCATCATCGTCATCATTATCATCACTTTCCTGAGCTTCTTTGTCAGCATCATTATTCTTGGTTTTAGGTTTTAGACCTTTGAACCTTTTTACACCTTTATACTCTACTGTTTCTTCCTCATCATTATTATCACTGTCATCGCTGTCATCATCCTCTTCTTCCACTTCGTCCTCCTCTTCGAAATCTTCATCATCCTCGTCTGATTCATCTTTTAAGCTATTTCCAAAAATATCTGGGGTATCAGTGTCCGAACCCTCTTCATCTTCAAATGTTTCGTCTGTTTTACTCAGACTAGTGTCCTCCTGTGACGCAGTTTCTTCATTGACACCAGAACTGGAATCATCAAATAGCTCTAATGTTTCTTCAGGGTTGAAAATAAATTTTCCTTTCGAAGATTTGTTCTCTGCTTTGCTTAAAAACTTTTTCTCATTTGGAGAACCTTGCTTTAAGTGCTTTGCATTATTCTTAAATGCTTGCTTAGGCGAATTTTGATTTTTATTTTTTGCATCTGTAAAGCCTTTTTGGGCATTTTTCTGAGACGGCAATGACGGCATACATTTCACATTTTTGTTCTGTGCCTTTGAGTTGTTGATCAAAGCTACCTTACCCGTAGGTGTATTCTTAAATTTAGGATCTTTGTTCTTTTTTATAGAACCAACTTTTACTTGACGAAACTGGTCTTTTGATACATGACCTTTGGTATTCTGCTTCCAAGGTTTTGTCTTCCCCATTTTCTCTTCCTACAACATAAGACATAATTATACATGAAAACCTGTATGCAAGTCGTAAGAGATGAAGGGCGAAAGATGGAAGGACGAAAAATAAACCTTGAACATTTGCATGGAAAAAATATACGCATAAATATTAAATATTAAGATGATACTAAATATTAAAGATATCTAAATTTCTAAATAATAAAAATTCTTTCAGTAATTGATAACGTTTCGCGATTATCAGTTTAGCATCCAATTTTTCAAGCTGAAATATTTAAGGATCGTATAGGATCGATAAGGGACCGCAATTGTATATAAGAAAAAAAACACAAATAATGGAAGACAAACTGACTCGGTACGAAATACGTAACGGTTATCCACGTGTAATGCGACATAAAGAAGCCAAGGATATCAAAAACAAATATTTAATTAAACGTATAAAAGACTCCACCGTAGAATGTATTTCCTAATCATTATATAAAGTTTATCTTCAATTACCAGTCAAGAAACTTGGATTTACAGCCGTGGAAATATCTCGCTCGAATCGAATCACTACCGGTATTAACGAAACGAAACACGAGACAGGAATGAACCAGAATGAACAATGGACGAAAGGCGCCAACCATCCGAACCATGGGGCATGGATCAAAGATTAGTGAGTGCGTCCAAAAAACCATCGAGCAATCGATGATTGTCTTCCCCTGTGTGGGGCGATTCTGATTGGCAAGTTTAAAATCTATTCATTGGCTGCGTTGTAAAATTTGTGAATCTGATTGGTGTATGCTTTTAACAATCTTTTGGCCGAAGCTGATCTGGATAAAAGAACGCAGCCAATCAGCAAACAGACCTCTTGTGATGTTTTATTTATAATTTATATGCCGACTGCCGAGACTTTCGGGTTTTGGCATCACTCTATTAATTAACTTTGTTAGTTTATGACAGCGAATTTTTCGTGTGAATTGTGATTTCTTGTGATAAAACACCTTTGTGATACCATGAAAATGTTAAACGAATGTGGCGGAAAATTGATAGGAGCTCGTCATTTCTATAAAACCTATAAAAGCAAATATTTAATTCAATATTATTTTTGTTATTAATTTATCATTTTATAATCCAGTTGCTACCAACAAGACTAATTTATGTATAACGCGACCGTTCGACGAGACGAGAACTAATCGTCAGTTATGTAAATGTATAGTTTGATACCATCGATCGCAGCGAAAAAGTCGCTGCATTTCGCCTTTCGCCATTACGAGTAGAGTTTAAGGGAACAGCTGATCGCGTTGTCAATGTTGTCATCCTCGATATCTCCCGTCGAGAACGTGATACATTTTCTATCTTGAGCGGCGAAATCATGGCTGTGTCAATAAACGAAATCTGCGAGAACACGAAGCTCGCGCGTGAAATGGCATTGATGGGAAACTACGATACGTCTGGCGTTTACTACCAGGGAGTCGTGCAACAGATACACAGACTACTCGCGACCATAGCGGACGCGACTCGCAAGGCAAAGTGGCAGGTTGTGCAGCATCAGATTGTCCAAGAGTTTGAGAAAGTCAAGGCCACGTCCAACACGCTGCAGCTCTTCAAAGTGGACACGCATGGCGAGAGGCTGCTCGGTAGTACGATCAGGATAGACTGACTACTTGGGATAAAGTCAAATTGATCTAACAAGCATATGAATTCTAGGTACATCCTGCCTGTCGTTCGAGGAACCGACCCGAGATCCTGCTCTCTGGTCTTACAACAATTCAGACTCCTCTTGGAATCAGCCACAACCCAGGGATCCTGATGTGTGGCCTCCCCTAACTCCAGCAGAACAAAAGTACCAATATAAACTCAATATTTTATGATCTATTAATTAATTATGTAGCTTTTTTCTTCCTATTTCTTAAAGATTTTTTTTTAATTGTTTTAAAATTTTATAATACTGTTATATATGTTAATTATGGAAAAGTAATTGCAATTTTATCTTTTTCAGAAGTTCAAGACAACAAAAAATTCAACAGAAACAGCAGAACCGAACAAACGCCCGAAAATCTCTTGCCACAGTTAAAAAGCCAGAAAGCAAGGCTTCTGGTAAAAAGGATGATAAGAAAACTGCCAAAAAAGACGATGCAAGCAAGGTTACTTTGTTTACTGATTATAATTAAAATTTGTAATGCATTACAAATATAGATTGCATAGTGTTATACATAACTAATAATTTGCAGGATAAGCCAGAAACGGAAAAAGACGACGTTGAACTGGAAGAACGTAAATTTGAGCCATCTGCTAATGATAAGGATCTTGTAGAAATATTAGGTAATGATATTATTACTCTGCCCTCTTCATATTTTTTGCAAACCTATAACGATGGAAATATGAAAGCAATTTTTTATGTTAACATTGTAGAAAGAGACATTGTTCAAAAGAATCCAAATATCCATTGGGACGATATAGCCGATTTACATGAGGCAAAGCGATTGCTGGAGGAAGCAGTTGTCCTTCCGATGTGGATGCCTGATTTCTTCAAGGTATATATATCTCCTTTCTTAATTTTTATCGTGCAATACATTAAAATATAATTGCACTAACATTTATATATCATATTTATAGGGAATCAGGCGACCTTGGAAAGGAGTGCTAATGGTTGGACCGCCGGGCACAGGCAAGACTATGCTCGCAAAAGCTGTTGCAACAGAGTGTGGTACAACATTCTTCAATGTCTCGTCCTCTACGTTGACATCGAAATATAGGGGTGAATCGGAGAAACTTGTTCGGTTGCTATTCGAGATGGTAAAACAAAAACATTACCATGAATTATGTATCTAAGTAAAGTTTCCATTGAAAGAAACGTAACGTCCATTCACGATATCAATTATATTTGGATATAGGCCAGATTTTATGCGCCCAGTACGATCTTCATCGACGAAATTGATTCTCTGTGCTCTAGAAGAGGATCTGAATCCGAACACGAAGCTTCACGTCGCGTAAAATCCGAACTTCTCGTTCAAATGGACGGAATAAGTTCCAATAGGTAAAACACCATATAATACTTTTGCTTCATAATACCAATAATTACTAAATATCCCTGTTTTATGTAGCGAAGATCCAAGTAAAGTAGTGATGGTACTAGCGGCAACAAATTTCCCATGGGATATCGACGAGGCTCTAAGAAGACGCTTAGAAAAACGTATCTACATTCCACTACCGAATCGTAAGTCTCGTGAACCTTGTCTTGTAAACCTCTTCAATGAGATGTGGTGTATTCTTAATAAAAAAAAATATATTTTTTTTCTTTGTTAATAACAGATGAAGGCAGAGAAGCATTGTTAAGGATAAATCTTCGTGAAGTTAAAGTGGATTCGTCTGTAAACTTGACGGATATTGCACGGAAACTTGAGGGTTACTCTGGTGCAGATATTACGAATGTTTGTAGGTGAGTAGTCTATTGCAACAGCTTACATTCAATTTTCCAACTTATTTTGCCCGTCGTTTGTTATAGGGATGCTTCTATGATGCTAATGCGAAAGAAAATCGCGGGTCTGAGGCCTGACCAGATCAGGCAATTGCCGAAGGAAGAATTGGATTTGCCCGTGTCTGCTGCAGATTTCGACGAAGCCGTTGAGAGATGTAACAAAAGCGTTTCCCAGGAGGACTTGGAAAAATATGAAAAGTGGATGAGCGAATTCGGTTCCTCTTGATATCATTCCCTCAAGAAATAATAATATAATTCATTAACATGCTTGTTGATCCTGATTACAATTAATGTTACAATATTATTCTGTTTAACATGTATAAAAAAGCTAAAGGAGCTTAACTCTTCCGCAACTCCTAAATAACTAGGTCTCTGTACTCGAGACTTGAGGAAAATCAAATTGGAAAATAAAAGACTGTATAATATTATATATAGGAATAACGTGAGCTAAAAAGTTGGGTAATATTTTTAATCTCAACTGTAACACTGAAGACTTAACTGATAGTAACAAAGTAGTTGTAACTTTTATATAGTCAGTAATATTTTCCATCAAGTCTAAATGTAAATTTATTCGTAATAATAAAAATTATTGAAACAATATCTAGGATTATCGATACTTTGCAGTTTATTTGTATATCTTCAGCTCTTCTTTGGAGCGCAACCTTCTTTCCGTAAATTTCTCGTTTCCTCGTCTATATTCTTTGAATCTTTTGGCGCTTTGTAATTGGAAACGTGGTCCACTCGTATTGTTCTACCTAATATCTATAAAAGAACATTTTCAGTTTAGAGAAATACTTGAAACACGTATATAATATTTAAAAGACATAAATTCTGTAGAAATAAAGCAAATAATTCTACTGTAAAAAAAATGAACGTATTGCACTAAAATACCACCTTTATGCCATTGAAATTGTCGACTGCCAATATGGTGCTCCTCTGATCTTCATAACACAAGAAGCCATAGCCTTTTTGCTTTCCAGTATCTTTGTCTCTAATTAAATTTATATTAACTACTTCTCCGTATCTGTAATGATATTACATGTAGTATAGAAATTCAGCTGGCAGTATAATTGCAGGCTGTTCGCAGATTTCAACTTACTGAGAGAAAATAGCGATAACGTCACCTTCCGTTAAATCGTATGGCAGACCACCGACGAAAATCCAAGCGCTATCTTTGTACTGGTCGTGCCAAGACGTTTTATTTCTACCTCGTAATTCTTGCTCGTTGAGCTTCTTTATATTTTTGACGTTACTGAAAGTACAGATCAATCACAGTCATACTTATTACCTTCCAAAGTAGGAATTTATATCAAGTTAAAAATTTAAAATATAATATAATGCAAGAAATATGTTTAACTAATCACATAAAGATTACTAATCAGATAACTAATTGTAAGTTGACTAATCATAAAGTTGACCAATACATAAATTGTAATTGGAAATACGTACGTTAAAGGATTCATTGCAATCGATTATGAAAGATATCGCACAAAGATACGCACAAATAGATAATAAATTTCAATGAGGAAAAACCCCTTTAAAAAACGCTTAAAAAATATTTAAAAGACGAAGGAGAAAGATCGCGAGTGACAGAATCGCGTTTGTTGTGTTTATGATTCTTTCACTTTTTAGGAACGCTGAATTCCTCGACAAACTTGTTGAAGATGTCGATTGGCTGTCGATAATTGCACCGAGTCTCAACTCAATTCGACTAATCGACTACGCGAGTCGCGATTCCAGGCTGCTGGCTGCTCCAGGCCCCAGGCCCCAGGCTCTCCTCCTGTCAATCTGTCAATCTCTTCCTTCGTTTAACAACAGTGAAGTTAAATCCAACATTTGCAAAGTCTTGATGATTGCGGGAGCAGAGAAGATGATATCCAATATCGATGGGGATTAAAGCGTTCCCGGGCATTCAGATCGGTTCCCAACAATCTCAACTTGGAATACTTGGATGGACAGTTTAGGTTAGGTTGGGTGGGTTTGGCAGAGCGGAGTCGCGGATCGCGCGGTTCAGGGTTCTCCGCCGTCAGCGTCAAAGACACCTTTCGTCGGCGTTTGCTTCGGTCGCTATGTACTCGACAAAGACGCCGACTCTGCGGATCGACGAGGCCGATCTCAAGTGCAGAAATGGCTGTGGGTTCTACGGTAACGCGGAATGGGAAGGTTACTGCAGCAAATGCCACCGGGAACACCTGCAGAAACGACGGGCCCAAGCTGAGCGCGTGTCCCACGCGCAAACCTCGGATGCGTAAGTTTCCTTTGTCTCGAGTTGTGCGTTACGTCCCCTACGCCTCTCTAAAGAAATGCCTTTGTTGCTTTCCTACAGAGACAATGTCAATCGATCGATAGGTGCTGGAAGTCACAAGGGTTACGAGGAGAAGAAAGTACAACAGGAGAAGAAGTACAAATTGTTAAACATTTCATTCAGGAAACCTGTGGCGAAAGGTAGTAAACCGTCCTATATTTTGTGCTGTGTCTTGTAAACGATTGTCCATTGGTGGTAAAATAACATACAATATATGTTTATGTGTCTTCAAGTTCAGGGATATCAGGAATTGTATCACGAGCTGCTGAAGGACAATCCAGATCTTGAGAAAGTCAAGGCAGAAAATCGAGATTTGCTGTTGTACATAGCTAAGACACCAGTGGAGAAGGATGTGAGAAAATGCATACATTCATTTGTGGTGGACATACTCCAGAACAAAGATGTGAAAAGGATAGAAGAACTTTCGGAAATAACGCAAAACTTTTACCATGTGTTTGGAAAGCGTCTGGAGAACAGCACTAAATACTCAGGTTTTGATCGATACATATACATATTTACTTGCATTTATCTGAAAGAAGAATTTGGATTTCATCTATTGCGATATTATTTATACAGATATATCTCCAGATATTAAAGAAAAGTTATTAGATTATGTCGAAAGGTATGCAATGACTTTGTTGTACAGAATCCTTTTCTGTCCTCCGTTCACGACGGATGAAGAAAAAGACCTGGCTATACAGAAAAGGTTTATATCACATAACTTTGGGGAACAGCTTAAACTATCTATATTTAACAGGGAATGTTAACAGTAATTTCTTCTTAACAGGATACGGCAATTAAATTGGGTTAGTGGCAAAAATTTGGAATGTAGAATTCACGAGACAAGCTCGGAAGTTCGAGAACTTGTTTATACATCTATTACAGGTTTGTAACACTACTGTGATGAAATCGAGTAATAATCAACAATTTTGCAATTCGATATAGCAACACGATTTAGAACACGAATTTCTTTTAGATCTTTTAAATATGGATTCCGCTAAAGCGCCCCAAGAAAAACTGGCGTGTGTTATTCACTGTTGTAGAAATATATTTTTGTTGTTGCAACAATCCGTCGATGGACCAGCGTCTGCCGATGAATTCCTCCCGGCGCTCATATTTATCGTTTTAAAGGCTAATCCCGCGCGTCTCAAAAGCAATATCAATTTTATTACGAGGTTTTGCAATGCCAGCAGATTAATGACTGGCGAAGGAGGATATTACTTCACAAATCTGGTACGGTTTGCTAAATACATATTGGATGTTTCGCAAATTTCTTTTTAAGCTATCTCTGGAGACAAAAGATTGTTATCATTACTTTTAATAACCATTCGTAATATTGTAGTGTTGTGCGGTGTCATTTATCGAAAACTTAACCGCGGAATCCTTGAATATGGCTGAGAAGGACTTCAATGCATACATGTCAGGGGAATGCGTGCCAGCTAATACATGGGAATCGGCTCTTATGATATGCGAAGTAATAATTGTGATATACCTTTGTGTTGAGGATTGACTGTTCATTAATACATTAATTGTAATTCATATAATTTATAATGTTTAATTATTGCAGAGCTTGCACTTCATGTGCGAAGATATAACTTTATTGGATGACTTGCAAGCTAAAAATACCGACATCATAAAGCAAGCGGAAGAACTGAAAAACAAAATGATGGATTTCAAAGAGAAGATCAGAGAGGATGTGAATAAAGTAATTGAGAGGACGCCGCTGCTAATATCTCATAGTCAGAGAGTGCCTACCAATTTAGATAGCGAAGATATTGAGAGCTATCAGCTACCACCACCGATTATTCCACAGGTGAGAATAATTAGATATAATTTTTATCTTTCAATTACATTCATTTTAAATTCTCTAACAGATATATCCACATTCTGTCGATAACATGAATGGCGGCGTAATGACGGATCTGTCGAGTGACTTAATGAGAACGTCATTAGTGGAAGATTCCGTTACGCCGTCGCCAACCTTTGATTTTCCGTCCTTCATCGGCGACGATAGTCTGGAAGTTAGTAAAGGCGAGGACGAAACTAGTCTTATCAGTTTAGATACTCAATCCGATCTTGCATCTGGTGAGACACAAATCTTTAAGAAACATATGACAGACAGCTTACTAGACGAATGCCCCACACCTGAAGCGAATCTACCACCCGTTTTGAAGCCGATTAGTTCAGAAGATTATCATGGCTTCACGATTCAAGGATCAAATATACCGACAATCCCATGCAGCACAGGCGACTCATCCATAACTCCGGTCAACTTAGATTCGGATAATTATTCCGGTTATTATCAAAACATGTAGCATTAATTCGAAAAATGTGATCCAAGTATTATTTATGCGAAAAGCATTTCATAAAACATTACTTCGATTGCGGTAGCGATTCAGTTAAGAAGAATTTTCAACAATAATCTTATATCGCAATTTTATTAATTCGTTTGTATTTGTAAAGAGTTTATTATAGATATGTAAAACAATAAGAAACAATAACGTCGTAGTGATGTATGGGAGCCTCCTTCTGACGCTAGGATAAAGAAACTCGAGATGATGTTACGATTAAGTTGCTGTGATAAAATCATTCACTTAATGTATCTGAATTTTATTTAATATTCTTCTTGTGATAAAAAATAGAACAGTGGACGATAGATTGCATAAAAAATTATCATTATTAAATGTTTTAATATATTGCCTATTAAGTATGTATTTCCTGACGTTATTTTAAACATATTTCCACGTGAGAACTTGTATCCTGAATTTTAGCTATGTCGATCTCTTCGCATACTGGATTATCTCGTAAATCTAGTCTTCTCAAATTTTTGTGCCGTTTTATTAAGTTGACTATCTCCTTCGTGCTCATTAACTTATTATTTCTCAAAGAGAGAACTTGGAGATTGCGTAGAGTAGGAAAACATTTCAATGATATCAAGCCATTGCTGGACAGTGACAATTTCGCGCAACGTTGTAATGTAGAAAGTTGATACAAGGAATTTTCTAATTGGTTCGCACCGAGGTTTACTTCCTCAAAAAAGCTAAAGTAGTGGTTATTGTGCAATTTCGTTAAGTCTAATCCCGATAAATCGATCTTTGACTGTATTTCTAAATCGTTCTCTTCTTTCCACATTTCGAGTAGTTTATACTCCACTAAGAGCTTGCTTCCTAAAATCACAGATAACATTGATAGAAGCATGTGTATTTATACATAAAAAGTCAGAGAGTTGATTACTTTTAACATTATTAAAATCAAAAGAGAAATTGTGAATATCCTAATGTAAAAAATATTACTTACGCAAATCTTTGTAATAATTCTTGCGAAGACTGTCGACTTTTGACAGCGCCGATAGATTATTTAATATATCAATATAAAATTTTTTGAAATCGATCTTTTTCATCAGTAATATACCGGTTAATAAGGCCCACTTGTTATTTGGTTCCATTTTGGAGAGTTGATTGTAGCTCTTCAATTGTTCATTTAATTGCTCATCGTTGCTATTTTGTTTGTGCAAACTTGAATTATTTTTGTAAATCCATGCACTTTCTAACTCGGAATATGAAAGTTGATATACTGTTTCTTGTAGTTTTACAGAAACTTCTTTGGCACGATCCAAATCTTCCAACAAACTGCCAAACTCTGCAATTCGTAGCTTGGCAAACTTTTCATCTGGATGCAATTGCCATTGCGCGTCAACAATTTCACCATTTACAAATAATGAAAGCGAAATTGGTTTAATCAGAACGTTGTTGTCGACAACAACAATGGCTGTGTCTTTCTTAATTTGAACACGCCACAGCCTACAAGTTGTCAGGCACTTATCTAAAAGCCATCTTTGGTAGAACCATGCACTAGTGTCATTGGGGTCGGTAAACGTTGCATTCATGACTAGATCGAGTTCTGAAAAATATTTGTTATTTCAGGAGCGCTATTGAAATATATTATAAAGAATATATATATTATACCTTCTCTATATTTATCGTCTACAATCGGTATCTCTTCAGACGTAGTGCCAAACATTTTGGTTAATATTCGGCTTCTATAGTGCCAAGACGAATAGTTGGAAAAGTTATTCAATATTTTTGTGGTAGAGAACTCAAACTCCTCTTCATTCGAGATCCCAGCTTTTTGTACAACAAACTCTCTGTAATCCCAGCAGTGAACTGCAATTAAAAAAAAAAATGTATCTTCAAATATACCAACTTGTTGGAAGAGTGATGATGCTACATTTTGAAGTGTATATTTTCATTGCAGCAAAGTGATAAATATGGCATACTAACAATTTCTTTCGTCTATATTTAGGCATTTTGCACACAGAGATAATTCTTTCTTCCAATCCGGTTCAGGCATCCGTTCCATCACCCAACACCTTTGATGCCATACGCTATATGACTTGGGATTTTCTCTCAGACACTGTTCGGTCAAGCTCATCTCATTCTCAAGCAGTTGCTTGTAATCTTCTTCGTTCCTGCGGATTTATTATCAAGTTAATTTTGTTCGCTGCATCAATGAGGTACCTTGTCAATGCGTTACCATTCATTATTCTCGAAAACTTGGCGACGGATATTCCACAGTGTATAAATGTCCGAGTTGTTCAATAGCATACGCCTGGTAACTGACAATAACTCATCGTCCCATATTTTGCCCTGCCTCTGAAATATAAACGATATTGTCAAAAACAATGTGTGAAAATCGCATGTAACATGTGTTACGTTGCACGTGATGAGAAACAAGTTGAAACCTTTTGAGAGACTATAGCGAAGTCAGCCTTGTATTGGGCAACTTTAATCGCCTTTTCCCGCTTCCTTATCTCCTCCTGTTCCGCCGTCGTACGCACCTTCACTCGGCCATGCTAAAAAACATATTTATATTTATCTGTCAAACTTATATGCATATAGGTATGTATATCAAGCTGATGAGACATCAGTCATAATTGCATTATAAAGCAGCGCTCGCTCAAATTCATTCAACATGCATTAAAATAATATCGTGATGGTATAAAATAATAAAATTTGACAAGATCAGATCAAGACTTTACCATCGCGAATATTCTCTTTTCTTATCGCCTGTGAGTCACGAATAGTCAGCAAATCAAGCAAATATGCTGAATCGGGCAATTTGATAATTGCGTCTGGAATCACCGGATTCTATAGATCAGCGACCAATTGTTATTTATAAGCCACCGTCGGGGCGGTCGGCCACCTCAGGCCACTTTCGCAAGTAATTGGCCCATTTTTTCCAGGATAATCGACCACACCAGATCGGATATTGCGGATTGCGGATGCGCTTTTATACACTCGCACGTCACACGTCGCACGTGACACGTGACACATGACACGTGACACCGATCAGCTGGCAGGAGCTGGCCTGGCTCATCCTTGTTGCACTTGCACATTTAAGATGGCATCCTCCATTGTGGCGTCCGCCACAATACGAGCTGTGAAGGGAAGGAAAATTTTCCCGACTCGCGCCGCGCTCACCTTGGTTAGCGTGTTATTATTTACAGTCCCGCATTACCGTTTTCTGCATTTTTTTTTTCGTTTTTCCAAAAGCAACCGCCGCTCTCGTTCGATTCTCGTATTCGCGGTACAGTTAAAACGAAGATGAGTGAACTCGGAGAAAAATAATACAGGATATACTTTCAAATGAATTGGCTTGACAATTATCGTCGCATTTATTTATAAAATAAAACAGATTTTGCGACGCACTTTGATTCTTGTTTATTGCGTAATTGTTTGTACTCTATTTCGTAACGTTGCGACATGTTAATAAATTCTAACCTTATTTTCAAGGATACATTTTCATGTAATTACTGATGAGGAAAACACTCACGTTTACGTTTTAGACACCCAACGCTGTAAAGAAGATTAAGGATATTTTGAAAGATAAGAGTGAATATGTAAGTGTATATATAAGTGTACAAGATCTGAATTGTGTAACAGTAATCGAGAAATGTATAATTTTTATAATTAGAACAGAAAAATTTAAATGACAAGCTTTTTAAGCAAGAATGCTTATTAGAATTTTAAAGATAATTACGTACATTTAATTTGTAGATCGGTCTTAAGGTTGGAGTACAGCAACGGGGATGCAACGGTTTGAGCTATACCCTAAACTATGCGAAAGAAAAGTCCAAGCTTGACGAGGAAGTAGTTCAGGATGGCGTTCGTATATTCATCGATCGAAAGGCACAGCTGTCTCTTCTTGGAACAGAAATGGATTACACTGAGAACAAATTAAGCTCCGAATTTGTATTTAATAATCCAAATATTAAAGGGACATGTGGATGTGGAGAAAGTTTTTCAGTGTAGTAAAAATTTCATATGACATATTACATATTTATCAGTTTAGTTCTACGTGACATGTAATCTCTAGTTAGATAAGAGTTTAGAATCTTTAAAATGTCTTGTGATATATGACAGCATATTTCTGTCTCATCTCACAGTCAAAGGACTGAGTCTACGACGTAAAACAGATACATGTGACAATCGCCAAGATTTAATTTATCAATTTCTGTAAGTTTGTATATATTTTGCCATCTACTGTTATTAAGTACACGTAATGTACATGTACAAAATATATAATTTTTAGCTGAAAAAAATGTGCTGTTTGCTTTCAAGAAACTTTGCGTTTGTATATAAATTTTGAATTTATTTTATATCATTTCTTGTAGTCAACCAAATGCATGTATATAGTAAAAAAATCCGCGTAAAGCTTATATTTGATAGAAAAAATTAGATATTAATGTTTAATAGTAATAACACATGAGGGAGGATAAACAGTGTATTTTCTGTTGCTCAGATTTTTCTCAATTTTATTTTAAAATAAAAATTACAGCTAATTCGAAAGACGTTCCACTTGAAACGAAACCATATGATACACTTTTCTGGTAATACAATATATCTCGTCGTAAAATTATTACAAATGTATCAAAACTGTCAGAAGTTTTGTAAGGCATTTCTGGGAATAATTAAACTTGGTCAATTTGTTTGATTCTCGATATTTTCCAGAATACACAAATCTTCGATTTTTGCACGAGCTATATCTTATGCTTGTGTGCGCGCGTCATCAACATATAGTTTAAAACCTTCTCAAACTTGTCTTGATGTAACGATTAACGATAGAACGGTGAACGGTACGTCCTTGATACGGACGATACGGTACTTCGCCTAAAGCTCTAACCCTAAGGGCCGGTTGTTCCAATCTATTTAAACTAACTAATAGTTAAATCATATATGTTTTTTTTTATAAAACAAGGATAGACATATGATTTAACTATTAGTTGGTTTATCAATAAATTGGAACAACCGGCCCTAAAAAATGTAAAATGTTTTCGTTAGCATAAACCGCGCGTTTTTACGATCTCTTTGCATTGCGATTGATTACGTCATTGTGTATTCCTGCTAACTTGAACCAATGACAAGAGGTCTAGTAGGAGATTGCCAAACTCTGTCTTGCTCTGTCTAGTGTCTTCTAGGGCCAGAGGCTCTATCTCTGTCTACCTTAGTTACGAGGATATTATACGTCCGATACGAGTAATTTTTAATATTTATGAAAAGCGTGATATGTTAATACGCGGTGAGAGGTGAGAAGTGAGACGGCGAGAGTGGCGATGACGAGACGCGTCGGTGTTAATGTCGGTGTCGTAGATAGAAGGTGACGTATGGCCAATTGTTAATTAACCGCGTTAACCGAGTTCCCTGCAAGGAAATTCTGAAGATGCCGGCGAGGCGGAGCCGATATTCCGATGTCCGCCTACATACGTAGGTACCTACATACATACATATTTAGATTCGGTTTTATTCTTCAATTTTTCTTTTTCTTTTTTACAACGCCGATTCATTGCGAGAGTGGGGTGTAGGTGTAGGGTCACCCGGATCATCCTGCCGTCTGCCGTGATCGTGAAGCCTCGGAGCCTGTGCCCTGTGCCTAAATGTGTGACATTTACGACGATACAACTTACGAAATCGTGATTTTCACGATGATAACGTTATTATCACGATCGGCATACCTTACTGACTTACTTGCGGCTCTCGTGAGTTTAAGATCTCTTTTGATGGACCCGCCAAAATTTATCTGACACCTTTCTCGCATAGATAAGTAATCCTATATATTGCGGAATTAATTACATAGCCATCTCCACAGTCCGCATTTTCTTTTATATACTCACATTTTTTCGACAGTCCAGGGTGATCTAGGTCTAGGCCGTCTAGGGCATCCGCAATGTCCGCATTCCGCTTCAAAAGTTGAACGAACAGTTACATTTCTTAATTTAAATGGAATCCCATTTACAATTTACTGCGTGTAACGCAGAAAAATATTTTAAGAATCAAAAATACACATATAAAATGATACACATATTAAAAATACCTATAAATGCGTAATATGTAATATATATATATATATATATATATATATATATATATATGTGTATATATAAATACAAGACAAAATATATATTAATTAAGATACCTATACACATAAATGCACGACATGCGAAGTTACAAATACAAACTAGTCCTGAGACCTGGCATAAATTATAGATTGTCTCAAACGAGTTCAAGACCTTTATATCTTCTAAAGCTTTGCTAATATAATTCCTAGTATTTTCAATTGCATATATATATATATATAGGTATATATGTATAATATATAAAATCGATAATTGACTCATCGCTCTCGGACTCGTCATAGAAAAAGTTGCATGATTCAGTCGATTTGTATTCATTCTGTTTGACGTAATAGTGTTGGTGTATGTATGTGGATTATAGTGTCATAATTTTCGTTTTCTTTTTTATTATTGAGATCATTATTGAGAATTATTACATATATCGAGATCATTATCTAGCATTCTAGCACATTCGCGATACAAGGTAGCACGACGTACGTGTATCGTTACCGAGAAGTCTCGGTTCGTAAAATATATATATGATGCAAGCGAGATGCAATGTTTTCAGGAAGCAGCCTAAGAGAGTACGCCGGATGCGCTAAAAAACAGGATATAATTGGATGAGACGGATGACGGCGTGTGCGTTTGATGTGATATTCGTCACCGAACGATGGAACGACTTTTCCTTAACGATATGTCGATGTTGAGAATAAAATCTTCACGTTGTGGTAGTGCGCTCCAAGCATTCGCAATGATAACAAGTGTTGGCGCATCGGTGTTAATTGTAAGTGAGACTTATTTAAATCATCATCCATCATCATTATTATTATTATTATTATTATGACTTCAAGCTTCAATTTCGGTACTTGAACCATTAAAAGAACCAACGCGTTCAATTGTTTTTAAGTTTAATATTGTTTTTATTCCTGCTTTTTTCAATTTTTAACGAAGATTTTCGTTCGCCAGATGAATGACCGTTACCGCGAACACCCCAAAACGCATTCAACGATATTCAAGATACGTGAATAATGTAAATGTGTGCGCGCGTTTATCTCGTCCGCGGTCGCGGGCGAGAGTGCTGGGAATAAAATTGGTGAGGCATCTCAGATGGACCGAGAGGAATCAATGTGATGTGCTGACCGGCATAGGATATCGAAGGACAGCGACGATCCGCGCACCAAAATGGTAGGGGGGTACTGGCCAGATCCGGAGGATGGTATAAGAGAAGAAGGGATACGAAACCAACGCCAGTTATATTGACTTTCTTTTAAGCGACACGCGCGTTACACACTCCGCGGGAGGATACACATTAAGTAAGTACACGCATTCGGTTTATTTGTCGAGCACGAGGGTACGCGAGTAACTCGCGCCTCATCGTACTTATCGCGCCGCCGCGCCGCAAAGCTGTTTTGTAGGCTGCAAAGTCATTGCGAGGTACTCCAGGTACTCCAAGTACCCAAGTACCGAAACCGGTAAACGTTTCGACAAACTCGACACCGGATGCTGTAGACATCGAAAAACACTTTCTCGGTACACCTGCGTGTCAACTGTCGCGTTTTAATTGTCCGCGAGTGAAGCAGAGATCGTTCGTAGTAGCCAAGTTTGTCGAGATTATACCGACCTGCGCCGCGCTCCAATATCTTCAACTTGCAGCAGATATTTTTTCAGCGACGTTTGTTCAATTTTAATCAATTTGTGCAGAGATTTGTGTTAACGATCAAATTTTCATGACGCAAAAAACTATTTTAATTTAAATGAAATCTGCATTTTTAATTGAAAAACAAAAAAATATATTGCTTTAATTAAATTTGTATATCTTCTTGAATTACATATTTTATTTTGTCTATCTGTGTTCAATATACCGTATGAATAAAAATGACTTATATAGATATATGCGACACGAAGCAGTGCAGTCTTGCATGAAGATCAATATTAATTATACGAAAAAAATTAGTAATAAATTGTAAGTACAAGAGAATTAGCACTTTCTGTTCGATGCTGTAAGAATTACGAATTAATGTTGTGAAATCTTCGGCAAAAGAACATAGATTGCTTCTTCATTTGCAGCTGTTCGCCCAAAAATAACTTGGAAGCGATTTTAAATCGCATAATTACGTCGCGACGTGTTCATATAGTACCTATATTTAATTAAGTCCAATTAAAATTGCCACATAATTTTGCAAAGGTTACTTCCACATTGTAACTTAATTGCCTACGCAAGGTTGCCTGGGCTCTTCTTACGATCTTATTCCGAGATTACCCGAGAGATTATTTTTACCCGATATCCTCTTTTTATTCCGCCAAATTGCCGTGTGGGATCTGACGTAATTTGTGAATCATTATTGCTATCGTTTAACGGGTCGAAAGTCGACGGCTATCGCGACGCGACGCGACGTCACGTTTTTTATCTGTACAGGATATTCGGTGAACAATTTTACGTCACGAAGACACGTGTTCCTTGTGAAATTTAAACGAGTCGAAACTTCCTTGGCGAGAATCTTAAGGCTCAAATTATAAATACGGCATTGGAAAAGTAAAAAGATTGTGGCCAATTTAATCAGATTTCCAAACTGTCTTCGATCCAAACTCGATCTCTATGCAAAACTTGCCTAATCTACATTTACAGTTTACATTTATCGTCATCCGCTCGTGCTCTTCACGCGACTGGCGGACCCACTAAAAATAATCATGGATTCCAACCATGTTGTTCTTCTTTTCTCAGGCACGCTCGATGAACTCGAACGAATTTGGGACTTAAGACATATGACGTATGACGTATGACGTATAATGCCTGTCCTGATATTTCCAGTCAGATTTTACGAAATGTTATACACGCGTTTTACGCATTCTTGAGGAGAGAAGGCGGTTCTTCGAGAGCGTACATAAAATGAGATAAATAACACTTTCCAAAGTATATGACCGTCGTGAATATTTTAGTTATCGGAACGATTTTTCGTTATTTGTCGACGAGAGCGACGTATATTCGTCTGAATATTCACACTCGAGGGGAACACTTTGAAATCGATTCCATCAGGCCCATTCGGAATTACCTAATCCCACTTGTGCCCGAACAATCAACCTAGAGACACGCGTTAAAAAAATGGTCAATTACAGTGAAGATGATGGTACGGTGCAAAAAACCTGGCACGGATGATTCAAGTTTTTGGGACTCGGGAGCCGATTCAAGGCTCCAAAGGAGAATCTTATTGACCGTTATCTCACAATCGCATTCTTCTCAGACTACAAATGTATTCTTTTCTCGACATATTATAACTTTTATAAATTACGAGGAGGACCTACGGCGGACATAGTCGTCTACATATTTGAGAGATTAGCATTAGGATTTTGAAATAATTTTGACATTTTTGACGGACGAAAGCGCGCAGAGGGCGGTCAGACCCTTGAAATGGGTTTTGTGCCACGAGACTCTTTCTTATATTCTGTTTCACAAATCTAACGCGCGCTTTTTGCGTCCGCGTTAAATTAATTATTCGTGCTACGAAAGAAGCAGACAAAAGGCAAATAGACAATTTCCTCCGCTGTAAACAGCGACCAGTAGATAAATCGCAACGCGTAATTTGAAAATTTATCGTAATTCATACAATAAACGCGCCCGCCACGCCGTATCATCTAATCTCAGGTCATTCTAGTCGAGTAGCCTTCACAATATCAAAGAGCCTTCCGGCGGCTCGGACGCGTCCAGGCAAGGGCCATAAAATTGTCCGTTTTTATTAATCTACTAAAATTAGAATGCCAAAGGGAGGTCGCAACTCTTCCTCAATACTTATCGAATTTCGCGTGCACGCGGAAGGAGCGGAACTCGTTTTCTTGGGGTATTTTTAGACACGCCGCTCACATACGCGCTCCCTCATGGCGGCCATTAATTTTTATTGATGAAACGCATTAATCTTGGCGCACGCCTTTTTTTCTTCGCTGCCGAGAGTACACTGTTATTGCACGTTGCGGTCGAGAAAATATTATTGATTAATTGGAGAGTCGCCGGCAAAATGTGGGCCGTATTTAATTGTAATTTATCTCGAAGGGACTCTCGTCTTCCGTCTTTCGAAAACGTCGCACAGGCGACTGGAGAAAGGAAAAACGGCACTTAACTTAAATCTCTAACGTCCTTCATTCCGACATTCCGGTAATTTTGGAGCAGACCGATACCTAACGGCGGACACACGACTTTTCGTCGCCAGCGATCGTAATTCTGTATTGCGTGAGAATATTAAAAAAATTCATCAACGTATCCGTTTTAATACATAAAAAAAATTAAATTAAATTAAGTTAATATTTGCAGAGAGTGTGCAAATACTTATCAGTGGTCTGCTACGTGCTACACGCGTTTCAATCAGCGGTCTTTCTACTTTTCAACACTGGTTTATTGGATAATTATAATTACCCTCTAGCGAAAAAGAAAGATTAAAATAAGATTTCCGCTAAATTAAACTTGACCTGGAATTAATTGAGGAACCACTTTTAGTTACTCAAGAAAGTTTTGTTTGTCTAATATCGGAAACTTTGACACAAAGAAACAAACGAGATGACTATTCGGCAGTTCTGCACTGATAATGCAATGAAAAAAATTAACATTACTTTCTCATTACGCGGGATTTACATCAGCTGTTTACATCAGGATTTGGAGAGCATTACGCAGAAAGGTGGATTTCGGATTTCCACTTAGCGGAAAGGTATTCTGCCGGGAATTATTTGCCAATTTGCAAATTATTAATAATAATAATTCTCCAATATGACGCAACGTGTCGCCCGTATTTAATTTAATTCCTTGGCCTCGTAAATTTATCGGGAATGCATAACAGATATACGATCGTTTCATAACGATTGAGTCGCTTCGTTTCAACGGTACGTCGCTATTTCAACGGGATGGTGCGCGTTCTTTTCTTACCAAAAATTCAACCCGCAGCTCTTCTTCATTACCTGTCTGACGTCGCGATCGAAGATACCGATGCGCGTAGGTGGCCCGTTATGGTAATGCGAAATAAATCATTTGTGTATTGTATATATCGTAAAACTTTTCGCATTCCTTAGCGCGGACGTGTCGCGCAGCTATGATGCACGCTCTTTTTCCACGTACGGGGAAAGGCCGGTTCACGGGTTACGTGTTTGGCTGTTATTTCAATGTTTTGCAATCCGAACGGGCGTTACCGGAAACTACTTGAAAGAGGGAATCGTCAAAAGTCGAGGCTGAGAGATCGGAGAACGTCCAGATGATGGACACGACCTTGCTCCCTCACTCGTCTCTCTTCGCGAATTAATATCCTGTGTCGTTGTTCGAAGGAGGCCGGCTTCTCAAGGCCTCCCGATGTAATTTCCTACTTGAGGCGCCTCGAGGGTAATTAATCGTACATTATCCCTCGTGGGAAACTGACACGAAAATAAGCCTCGACCCCTCGACTGGCGGTGGGGGCAGGGCCATGAGCGAAACCCCCACGTTTTGGCCCACGTTGCTGACCCTTGCCGTGTGATTCGCGCAATTAGCTATTACCATGCGTATCTCGCAATTAGTCAATTTCAAGGCGCCATATTCTTAAACGTTTTTATCGGTGCGATCAGCCATGCATGTTCGGAAAAGATCTAATTTAATAGTCGCAAATATAAATAGTCTCTTAGCAATCTTAATGCATTTTATATGTATCACCTGTTTTAATTATCCGCCGCGATAATTCTTATCTTATTCATCAATGCCATACAAATCATCCGACAAATTACGAAATCCGATACATTACATCCGAAATACATCCGGATTAATAAAACTATGATTGAACAAAACCAAAGAGGGTATTTAATAATATTTAATAGTATCATTAGCTAGATACGTTACTCGATAGATGTATAATTTATATATATATATATATATATATATATATATACATATATATATGTATAAACTGAATTATCAGATGCAATTTACATTCTCTCTGAAAAAGGGAGTCTTGTCTTTTTGCAAATTTGTATAGCAGTGGTAAGGAAGTACCCAGGTGTTTTGACCCCAGTAGGGGGTCATTTCATTAATGAAATATTAAATGTTAAATATGCGAAATATTAAGCCTCACGCGTGTCAAACAGCATCTGTGGTCCGAAAGGGGTCAATGGCGACTTGATTTCGTTAGTAAACGTAATTACCGATTTCTCTTGCAAGATGAAAACATTCTCATATAATATTCGGACGGACATTTTACGACGCACGGGTCGCTCTGCTACGAATCTACGCATCACCTTTGCCCATCTTGCTCGGGATGGCGCAACGCGCCTTGGAACTGTGAATAGAATCCATGTCACGGGGATACGCAGA